GTTGTGATTGTGGACAAATTCTTACAATTGTGCCGAAATTTTTCCAGTATTCGAAGCCTCGTTTTTTGGACTTCTTGATAGTACTTGGAGAACTTATATCAGTAAAATATTTGCTTTTAATTCCGCGACTAAACTAATCATCGTAACCAGTCTGCCCTTTCAAAAACGGAAAGAAGAATCGATGCTCTTCGTTGCTAGAGCTCATTATACTTTTTATTCCTTCAATTTACTTTTTTTTTAATCTAAATAAATCATAATAATAATGATAATAACTGAAAAGTCAATTTTCTCAGCGATGCCTTCAATTCCGCCTACATTTCCCGCTATTGTAACGCACAATTACTTTTAATACTCTTTTGCAAAAATTTGTACTAACGGTGTGGAGACGACTAGATATGTTCGATATACATCTATAATATTGACAAACTAACTTCACGTATACTTGGCTATACAAATACTTGTTTTATAATCAAGTACAAGTTTTTGACATTGATTTTATAGTCAGAGTTTTTTCTTTTGTCAATTACGTTACTTTCATCGTTTCTTCTTTCTGATGAGCATTTTCATATAAAAGGAGAAACGCGTTCATAGGATCGAATTTTTCATTTATTATTATTGTTTTCAAAAGGCATTTTCTTTTTTTTTTTGAAACCTCGCTGCACTTTAAACATAAAAAATCTTTGATAAGAAGCCGTTTGCTAACTAAAAATACATAGCATGCGTTGACGTTTTTGTGGAAGTTTTGATAGCATGAAAAGTATTTGCCATTTTTATAAGCAACATTGCTCGAAATTTGAAGATTCTCTATGATTTTGAACCGATTTCTTCAGAAAATAAAAGGGGAGCAGATAAAACGTTAGAATTATATAAAAAAAGAAAGCAACAACAAAAATTTGCTATCATCGGATTTGCATCATGAACGCTATCGGAATTGTCGCATCTAAACCGTCGCTTGGAATTATTTTCCATTCAGTTTGAAGTGAAAATAAATATATATATATTATAAAGTAGGGTAGAAAAATAGAAGAAAGAAAGGGGAAGAGCATAATAAAAAAAATGAGGGAAAAATTTAATTTAAGCTAAACAGTAACAGGCTTCGGCAAAAAATATATTTAATTGAACCCTTCGCACTGCCGAAAAAAAAGGAAAAAAAAAAAAACAAGGGCAAGGCCGACCGTTAAATACCTTAAAACCATCTCGCCTACACACAATCCATCATTTATTTTCATGATAAAATACAAGAAATTACATCTTGCGGTACATACGAAGAAAAACTTTTCATTGCGAGCAGGCTCACGAAGTTAACCCACGTCATTCACATTTTGCTGCGATTAATTTCCATTACTCAAATTACCTTATTATAGATCAATTTTCATAGTAAGATATGAAAATTTAGATCATTTTTTCATATATAAATATTACCAATACGGTCCAAATGTTTTACATCTGTTTAGTATACCGAGATATCATCATTACTGGGCGATTTTTTTGTCGAGAAATTTTACAAAACGCGAATATTTTTTTTTATATATATTATCTTGTTGAACATATGGCGTTATATGTGGAGATTAGTCGTAAAAAATAGTTCAACTTACTTTACCCTCAATAGGGATCATTTTTGGATCGAAAGATGTCAATTCATCAAATTATCTTACGCACATCTAGCTTGAACACAAAAACACATGGCAAGTTTTTAGACGGACAGAGATGCAAGCAGGACGTCAGAAAATTATAATTCGTAGTTGTGGAGTGCAAAAGAAAAATTTAAGTGATAGTATGGCTAACAAACTGAAATGCAGGAAATTACAGTGTCGATCATTTATCTTTGGCTAACATTGGTTGTGTCAGTGAATTTCTTCTCCGGAAATTGGTAGCTTTACAAAACGTAGCTGACGTACACAACTTTTTTTTTTTTTTAAATTATGAGTATAGGTACCTAGACATTGGACATTAATGTTTGTATGGTATGGGTATGAGTTTGAATCTGAGTCTGAGTTTGCCAACTGCATATCAAAATATGACGAGGTGGAGCATTTAAGCCGTTGCCTCTTATCCCTTTTTAAAATGAAGAAAAATCAGAACTCGAAGCGCGGAATTAAGCGAAGAATTAAGTTAGTTCGGGATGAAAATGCGGTAAGTTATGAAAGAGTTCGAAAATGCTTTACCAAGGTCTTGCACAAAGAGTTTTAATCTTGAAACCAAAGAAACCTTGTGGACTTTCTCAAAAATACTAATGAATGATCAAACTCAAAATTTACTAAAATAAAAGATAGCTGAAGAAAAACTCACAAAGAGCTTACTGCGCAGCTAGGAGAATAGGTGAACAAGCAATTTTAACTTGGAAGGGAAAGTGCGAACTAAGCGAATAGATCAAAAATCGTTGACTTGACATCTGCTTATAATTGTTATGCCGACATAAAAGGACAGCTCTGACTGTTCTGACAGTCCTAAGGGAAGGAAAGTATGAGTTGCCCCAGGGCAAAAATCCATGTCTCTTGCAAAGCCCAAAAATTGAGGTTTATCTATATCGGAAATTTCGGAAAAAAAAGAACGAGCCATGTACGTCCAATTTTAGGCGATAGTATTCATTAACACACCTATTAGATTAACGGAACTACTTTATTTAACAATGACAACAAACTGGCCGTAATGGTCGTGGAATACAAAGAGGGGAAGACAAATATAAAGATTTGAAGAAGCCGTGCAAACAATTAGGTATAAAGGAAACTATAACTATCACGTAGAGTTAGTAGGAATTTGTTCGCTTTTCCCCTTTTTTTTTACTTTCTTGTCGTTTGAATTGCACAGCAAGCCATTGCCGTCAGCTGCCCAGCTATTGATTGCCAATAGCAGCCACAAAGCGAAAATAATTTTCTAATTTGTTTTTTCCTAAATTGTTTTCATTTTTAAGGCCACAACAATGGGTTTGTTAAGCTTGCCAGACGTGACAGGCTTGGTAGAGCTTGATAGACTTTGTCCAAGTCAGGCAAAAATGTATGCTTAAATGATAATTGACAAAGCGATTACCTTTTGACTATGATGACGAGTTTTAAATGCATTTTTAAGCATTTGTGGTTGTGTAGTTTCAACCAACTCTGACGTAATCACTGCACTGCTCTTATAAATACCGTTCAATAGCTTATGCATATTTCAGATGTGACTCTGCAATTAAGAATATTAAAAGGATATATATGTTATAGATATGATTTAAGAAGAAGAAAATATTAAATATTCAATTAAATTAAAATATTCACTCAAAGCTCCGAACAATTATTTTGCAACTAATTATATTAATTAATGTCTAAGTGAAATATTATTCAACAACAATTCTTATAATAGCTTCTGTTTTATATGCATGGCGTGTATGTAAAAACGGTACTACTTTTACTACACATTCAAATGACAAGAAAGAAAAAAAATAAATAAAAATATTATCTCGTCATTGTAATCGTAGTCCATGATAGGGCAATTCAAAGCGGGCAATATGGAAAATTTGATAGAAAAAAAAAAAAAAAAAAGAACATACATTCAAATGAAGCAATAAGCAATAAGGAACACTACACACTCTTTATATCCTTTAATTAATCTTTTATTAGCTTTTACTTAACCTTTATGATTCCCATAAAATTGCCCTATAGAGATTAAATATATACATGTATAAACACGATGCCGCGTCACGCTTAACGTTATTCGATTCGCGAAAGCAAACTGAAGAATGATTGAACAAAAGGTGCAGACAATTAAATTACAGAACGAATGCCGTTTCCCGAATCTAAGAATAAAATCTTATAATGATTCTATCATACAACGGAACTTAGTCTTACTAAGTCTGTTTACCTCTTGTTGGATTTTTTTTGAAAAAAAAAAAATAAAAAAATACTTTCATATCATAAAACTTCAAATGACTTACTCACGCGCTTAACACGAATGTACCATAAACGCTATATAGACTTTGTTTCCCATTATATTATTTTATCTATGATAGAAATTTTCGAAAAAGTTCAATTTCTTTTATTTGACAAAAAATGCGTATAACGTATTATATTTAAAATAAAAATTTTAAATATCATATCATAGCCACCTTTAAGGGTTTATAACGTTTTTATAAACGAACTTTTTATTATTAGTCTCTCGAGTACAATAACTTCTATCATATGCATACACCACATATCGTTAAATAAGTATATTATTTGCTTCTTCTTATTCATTTCCGCAATATGTCTAAAAGTATCAACTGCATATTCCAGCGAATGAATCCAGTACTGTTCGGTAGACACAACATATCCAGCTGATATATGAATATTATGGGAATGCGAACAATTTCGGTTAGTTTATGTAATAATAAATGAAAACGCTACAGCCCATCCATCCATTAATTCTGTACATCACTTCATTTAATACAGTTATTGATATAAATAAATAAGAATTTATATGGGAAGTGTTTGAAAAAGTAGTAGGATTCGAATCATTTTCAATAGCTTTTATCCTTGGGGCAAAACATGGCTCTATACAAAATTCTATCAAAATATCTCAAAAATTTGCGGCCTGTACGTTGAACACAAGGAAAGATGATTCTAACTCAAGTCCTTCTGGGTGTTGCACATATTCGCGAAAACTTTCTGTATACCTTTAGCACAAGTAGCGTAGGGTATAAAAATCTGGAATACATTACACATCACATCGGTTTAGCTCAATATATATATATATATATATATATATATATACAGATGTTTGTGCGATTTTCTAGCCGTGCCTGTCACCATTCGTTAGCTATGTCGATGAAATCTTTATACGTGAATGCTATAGAAATCAAATTTTTAAGTCAATTATTATTTTTATTTTTTTTTTTTAAATTATTACACTTGTTGAAGTAATGACGAACTGATTAGTTATGTGTTCCCACGTTATTGAATATATATTTTTCTCAGTGTATTTATAAATCCAATTACAGCGTCTTCAAGCAAGCTCATTGAGCAGAATAGAAGGGCAACATTTGACGGGAATGCTATAGCATACGATATACAAATCGCAGATTTCTGACTCACTCCTTGCCCTTCATTCTGATGTATTCACTTAACATATTGACATGAATAGTACAGCATTCATTCATTGCATATTTTAACTATCCTTAGAAAATACTCTTGCATTCAATCAGATTTCGGATATCACAACTAATTTTCATGTAAATTGACTGTCAATGCTACTGCCCGCGAACATGTTAAGATTGAAAATTTTTGACGTAGGAAGCTAAAGTTACAAATGTACAGATGTTGTTGGCTGATTCAAAAAAAAAAAAAAATCACTTTGTAGTACAAATACGCAAATTGAACTAAATCAATAAAATTAAAAAAAAATAAATAAATAAATTCTGAACTTTTCCATGCATCATAAATATTATTAAAAAAAATAGCCTATTAGTTGTTGATGGGACATGTAATATAGCTCACATCATATACCTTCTAGTTATAGCTGCAACATTTTTCCAATTCAAATCTTACTTTCTAAATGAAATTTTTTTTTGTTTACTTGACATGATGTTGCCATCTTATTCTATATCATCTGTGCTATTTACTGTGTAGAGGAAGATTACTGACAGCGTTGTTCCTGTATAAAAAAAAAAAAAAAAAAAAAAAAAAAAAAACTCTTTTAATCGATCTTCATCCATCATCCCTCCATCTGAGAGAGCGATAAAAAAACAGCCAACGATTTCCGTATAATTAGTATCGATAAAGGACAATTAAATATTCACCGTTAGAAGGACATCTTATTATTTATTTATTTGTTCTTTGACTTTTTCGTAAAGCAAACAATAAAGTTTCCTCTAGTGCATAATTTGTTATTTCGCAGAGAAAGCGAAAGTCATCTTGCAAGCAATTGCTTTTTCTGCTTATGTATGTGATTATTGTGTAACATATTATTAAATAGATTGGATGACAAAACGCGTATTTATTTGAGCGGAGATTACATTTTGTGATACAAAAATTTAATAATAGAATTCTTTATTTAAATTTACATCAGTCTATTGCAACATCATCAATACGTGCATCCACCTGAACGAATGCAATGCAATTTGCAATTGCATTGTATTTCGTGGTATGAATGAAACAGCATAGCACCTGACCAGTAATAACATTTTCAGAATATGTGAAAAATTGATATACGAAATGATATTAGACATACGATCCTTGTGACGATAATCACAATGATAGATGGCTTAATTCAATCCATTCACAATTGTCTTCCAAGTATTTCTCTCACACATTTGCAGACGTGTAATAATGAATAAAAAAAAAAAAAAAAAAACTTATTCCTCCTCGTACTATTTCTGAGGCGGTCGCTTTATATTTTGTACTTTGATTATGAGAAAATATATCCAATGATAAGAGAAGAAAAAAGAAGAAGAAATATATATATATATATATATATATTATATATCAATAAATGTAGTCCTGATAGTTTTATATGGTTTCACAGTGAAATGTAACCGCGCAATGACATACATTTTGTCCTTTTTAATAAATACATTTTACGCGTAACATATACGTACAATATATTTCTGTTATAATTTGATATATAAAATTTTTACAATACTCGGCAACATTTGTAAATTTTAATTACATTTACAGCACATTTGTGTAAAATTAAGCGGAATTTTTTTTTTTTTTTGTTTTTTTTTTATTGTTTTGCTCAAATCCTTTTAATTTAATTAATACTATAATTAAATTGCGAAATGAGAAGGTAATGACCTACATATATACATATGTATAGGCAGAAATTACAACAATTGTCAATGTGCGTATGTGTCTTGTTCAGTTGTTCATACACTATTTGAAAGAGTCATGGAATTGCTATGAGTTTGGAAACTTTTTGATTTTTTTTTTGAAAATTTCCACATTCGTGTACATGATACCGCTGTCACAACAAATGCGCCTCGAATTCATTACAATATATAATCGTAATAATTATCTTTGAAATCTTAGAAAGAGATTGAAAGAGAGTTTATATATACTACAATATATATATATATATATATATATATATATATATATGTGTGTCTTAATTTTAGTTTTTTTAATATTTTATGTAAAATAGTTTATTGAAATATCTTACAGCAGAGGATATATAATTTGCATATTTTTTCAGAAGAAGTAAAGGATAAGAAATAATTCATACGAAATGCTTTGCTCTAAAGTTTTTCCTGTATTTGCATTAATATTGGTCATGAATAGGAGTGAAGATCCGCAATTACGGATAAATGAATTCGAAGGATTTGGATGGAGTTGCACTTAACACTAACTCAGCAAGCCACATATTAGTTATTTGCCAAAGATAAAGTGTTCAAATAATTTGCTTAAGCAAATTAAAAATATTTTTAGATGAAATTTGTTTAATCAATTTGTTCATCTTCCCAATAATTCAAGATTGCTTAAATAATATCGTTGGGTCTTGAATAACATTGTGTGTGTGTGTGTGTTAGTCGAAAAATCCTATTTTTTACTGTAGTAGTAATGTACATATATGTCATGTGATTAAAGTGCAAGCAGCATAGTCTTTTGGCACTACGGATAGATAAAACACACACAGGTCGTCACAATTTATGGAAATCATGGCCGCTTTTTCCACTAATTCGAAGGATGGCTGCGCTGAATTGCGATACATGATAAACGATGCTGACTACACGCAGACGATATCCAATTTACAAGCAATTATGATGTAGTGTGAATGAACCATTAATATCGACAACAAGACGAAGTATCTGTTCCGACCGCCATCCGAACACTGGCAAACACTCTTCTCTTCTTCCACGCTTCTCTATATCTGCATACGAAGGCAGAATTTTTTGAGTGATTATCCATATATTACGAAGGAAAAAAAAAAATCTTTTTTTTTTTTTTTTTGGAAGACTCATTTGCTTCAATTCAATGAAGCAATAAAAGTCTGACTGACAATACAAATAAGGGGCATATCAATAGCGATATTTTTCCTTTGTGGATAGGAAAGGTTTGGTTGAATTTTGTCCTTCCCTGCAGTTGTGAAAGTATATTAAATTTATTGTATCACGTACTCTAATGGAGTACAACGGATAGACGGAAACGCGGACAGACTAACGTTCTTGACAAAACTTGATATACCCTTGTACCCCAAAAATGGTATAGGTGTAGATGTTGTATAAAAAAAGGTTTATTTGATTTTGATTTCAAATAAATATTAAAATTCATTTACCTGCTTATTCAAAGTTTTGCGAAATAATTTTTTTATTTTTGAATTTCATACGTTTGCCTCTTCTTTACAAGTACATTTTGCGTTACACATTTATATATTATTTTGCATCTTGCTTGCAGTTTGATAATTCTGTTAAATATTAAAACACTTATGTTTTTCTTTTTATGCGTTTTTCATTTTTTTTCCTTTTTCTTATGTTTTCCTCTGTAAGAAAACTCGTTTGTCATTTCAAGTCGTTACATAGTGGAAGAAATGTAATGAAAGAGCAAATTAATAAAACAGGTACATGTTGCTGACGTAGTCATTAACACCCTCGCACTTTTAACTGAATTTACTCTAATGGAGTATAAGAAAAAAAAAAAAAAACATCTACACACACACACACACATATATATATATATATATATATATTCACACGCGCGCACATACAGGCACGCTTAGTGTCCTTAGTGGGAAAATAAAATTGTGTTTGTTTGGTTGCATGTATGTTCAAGAGGTTTTTAAATATTTTGTTGTTGTTTTGTTGTTATTGTTTGAATCTGCTTTAAAGAAAAGGCTAATCCGTTACGGTAACGACATTTTCTTGACACTAATTGGAATTCTTACTTCTCTGCAAGCAGTAAAGTGCAAGCGCTTTTTCTCATGGAAATTAGTGAAGAACACCTTACGCCGGTTCGTAGTGCATATACATAAACGTTTGCCTCCTTATCGCTTAGGCTTTGCCCTTCCCGTTCATCATTGATTCGGGAATTTTGTAAGTAGCGTACACTCGAAGCGTTTACATAAAACTGTTTTATGCGATGCACTTACGAAAGGCAACAAGTTGCCGTTATTTTCCATTTTTTTTTTTTTTTTCTTTTCTTTTCATTTTCATTTGCTTTGTCCAATGCGTTATCTTTATCACATCAATGAAAGTGTGATAATTCATTAATTGTGTATGCACATAAGCTTGCTTGTGTATGTGTGTGTATGCATGTATATGTTTATAATTGAAATTATTTATCATCCTTTCTTTCAGTTATATTGAGTATGTAATGCTTATGGCTTTGTATAAAAGCCACATATGTACTAAGGCATACACACACACACACACACACACACACACACACACAAGCAAACACACTTTCAAGCAATAAATGCGTATATAGTGGTAGGCTTGCTCTTATGTAAAGGAATCGTTGACTTAATTGCTGCATAAACGTACAAATTTCAACAAAATAAATATTTTTCTATATAAACATGTATCTATACATACGTATATATATATTTGTGCCATTCTTAGTCATTCATATATGTATATATATATATATATATATAAGAATCCGTTTATATGTAAAAATCTTTGTAGAAATTTTAGAAATATTTAATTGTTTTCGCGTTTATCTTTACCTTAACGTTGTCCTTACACTAAAACAATTAATTTTTATAAATTACATTCCCAGTGACGCGCTATTGTCTTCTCCAATAAAATAATGAAAAAGCAATTAAAATATGCACCTCGCCATTCATTGCATTTATTAATTGATAATACATGTAGCTTTAAAGAGTAATTAAATGAGGCAGAAGTAAATTTGAAATCATATTTAAGCTTTCGCCTTTCATTTTAGGCAAATCGACAAGAATGACCAGACAACACGTCCCATATATATTGTGTTAAGGGAAAGCTTCGTAGAGTTTTCCCAATAGACGACTTTCGAGCCTGATGATATTAGTAACACTATCGTTATATAAAGTCGCACTATAACGCATATGAAACGTGACAGTCTTATAGATAATAAAAAGAAAATAAAAACAAGGAGGATAGTTATATTCGACGGGGGGGTTGGGGGGCGGGGGGGGGGGGTGCGCGAATCTCGCATACCCACATACACGATGCCCTTCGTATTCTACTCACCAAACTCTTTTATTTGATACCCATATCGCTAGTATTATCGAGAAGAAATGAATTGAGAAGAAAGAAGGAAATGATCCAAAATACCAAATTAACCCATTTTTAGGCAGATCATATATATCTTAATTTGAGGAGTATACAAAATAGTTTCAAACATTCTCTCCTGTTTGCCTTATGATATGAAAGCGTAAAACTTAAGAAAAGTGAAAAGAATACAATATGTAATCACTTGTAACTTTGTGTGTAGCCATGGCCGATCGGTTCCATTTTTGCACATAAAGGTTAAGACTATCTCGTAAATTAAACGTGAAAAATTTCATCCTTCGCTCTTTTATAATTTCTGAGAAATGTGCAAAAAACCGCAAATTTTTGTTAAGAAACAAACGGAGTTTCGTTTATTTTACGCTCTATGGCGCGCTTCTGCTCTGACCGATTTGATCCATTTTCAATATCAACCTGCGTGCAGAAACTTCCGATGTTTGAAATTGATATCTGCGACCAGGATAATGCTAACAACACACACCACACAGACACGCAGACGGACAGACATGGCTAAATGAATTCAAAATTTCACGCTGATCAGGAATACACATACTTTATAGGGTCTCTGATGCTTCCCTTTGGGTGTCACATAAATTAATGGAAAAAACAAGATGAGTATAACCCCATCTTATAATTGTACCGAAAATAATTACGTTTTACAAACGAGCCGGACTCTATAAGTATTTCCCTCTGTTCTTTTTTTTATCCATCAAGCAACACCCAGAAGGAAGGTCCAGAGAATCCATAAATTATATATTAGTATTCTTGATCAGCAGTAAATTCTCAACCGATTTAAGCATGTTCATCTCTCTGTTCGTCCGTCTGTGTAATGTCTGTTGCAATTCGTCGCCTGGCCGCAAAAATGAAGCTATCAACTTTAAATTCGGCCGGAAGATTGAAAGTTCTTGCATGCGTTGCTGTCAAAAATGCACCAAATCTCGTAGTCATAAACTACAACAGATCAATCTATAAAAGCTTCAACGTGCATTCTATGGGTGATGTTACTAACTGTAACGGTAGTAACCACCACGCCATCTTGATTTTCATTTTTCTTTTGAATGCCTTTATAACGCAAAGAAGCAAAGAGTGAAAAGCATCATGATGTATATAAGTTCTTGGGCAGTTTCCAATTCGAAATGCATCTAACCATGTCCGTCCATTCATCTGTCTATCCCTTCGTCTGCGCAACTGGGTAGTATTAGTGGTAAACATTCTCCCGTTCGCAAAAATGAAGATATTGCTTATAGACATGCAAAAGAATTTGAAAATGACCCAAACTTTCCAAAGGACCCGGCTGCAATGGCCTCTAACGCCTGTGTAACGAAAACTGTGAATCCCTTTGCTTTACGTGTTTTTTCCTTGTTACTGATAAAGTACAACACATACAATGAATATGAAATTCCATTTTCACTCTGAAAAAAGGAAAAGGGAAAGGATGGAAAAGGAAAGGAAGGCAAAGGAAAGGACGAAGAAGGAAAACTAAAGATATACATGCGTAATCTAAGTAGCATTACGGAAACGTCATAGGCCAGAAATCATTTATTTTAGTTATGGCTTTCGCCAGTTTATAGCAGCAACAACAAAATTGATATGAGATAATTAGATTGCGTCCATTGGCCCGGATTATTACATTTTATACAAAATCACCAAAAATTGTTGTTTTTCACTTATTATAATTAGCGGCCGGTCACAAGATGATCAACTTTATATCTTCTGCCAATGTTCAATTACTTCGGTACTCCTTGAAATAGTTATGAACCGCAGACTCCATCTCTCCATTGTTTCGCTACCGCGCCAATGTTCAAGTTTTTTTAAAAGAAAAACACCTCGCAGAAATGTTATTCTAATTTCAATTTGTACACTTCTAGCCGACGGACATTAAACAATATTTCGCGAAATTTTTTCGTCATTTCGGGTATGATACGATGACTGACTTATAGCAAATTATTTGAAATAATTTTGATTTGATTTTTTTTTTTTTTTTTTTGTAATATTATTATATTTTTACAGATATTTTAAAGAAATTCTTACGTATGTAATAAGTTGTTTAAGTCCATTACTAAAATAAAATATAATTGTATTTACGCTAAAAACCTTATCAAAGATATGAGAGATGTAATGTAAGAAAGTGAAAATAATAAAAATAAATTTTTAAAAAAGAAATTACAAATAAATTTTAAATATTTATAAGTAAAAAAGAAAAAAAAAAAATAATTCCTTCTTGCTGTTCCTGTTCGGGATTTCATAATCCCAAACCAATTAAAATGAATGGCAGTTTCATTATAAACATAACAATTGCATAAATAGCGATGAGCGCAATAACACCGATTATTATATATTTACGAAAGTTTGGAAATATAATCATTTGAAAAGTCTTCCAGGGATGTAAGAGCGGATTGAATGAAGTTTCTGGTCGTCTGATGAAATATGAAAAAAGAAAGAAAAACAATTTATTTTTGATTAAATAAATCTTTGTTTCATTTCAAAATATTTTATATACGTTGGCTCGGGCAGGGCATGAGGAGGACTGCGTCCCAAACCGACTGGATAACTGGCTGCCTCCGCTTCGGTTGCTATTTCTAATTCTAATTCAATTTTTCCGGTCATCTTGCCCGTTTTAAGACGTTGAGCTGATATTTCGGTCGGTTCAGGTTCGTGTCCCTTCATTGGAAACCAACCTCTAATTTTTTTCTGACGAAATAAATTTAATAGCTTGCGTTGATCTTCATTTGTTTTATTCTTTTGAAATAAGCTACGCTTGCCATAATCTTCTTCACTCAGAACGCATGTCTTCGATGAAGCATATGGTTCAGGGAAATGGGATAAATTAATTTCCAATGCACCAAGAAAATCATCATCAGATATTAAGTCCTTATCGAAAATATGAATAAATAATTTCGGTGGCTGTTTAATTTCAAACTCTTCCAGTATACCGGTTCTCCGTTTTATTACTATCTGTAAGTAATACATATAATTGATGGGAGGGAAGGCGTAGGTATGGTTACAAAAACAAACAAATATCATTTTGTTTATTAAATTTGATCTCTGTTACTTCACTTGTTGTTATAACTAGAGCTCATTAACGCAATTAATAATTATTAATAATTTCTCCTCATTATTTGACATATATATATATATATATATATTACGTCTATGCTTTATTTGTTCATGAAAAAAAAAAAAAAAAAAGAAATAAAAACACACTATACTTGCTTACCATGTCTTCGACTATTGAATATTTCAAAGGGAATATCATGCGCCAATTAAATTTTCCCTCACCATTCATTGAACGATAATGAACATCTGTGCTCTGATACTCATCCGTGTTACTACACCAACTAAAATAATAATATTGTTTAAAGCATAATAATGAACGTTAATAAGTTAACTGCGGTTGATTGCAAGGTCCTACCACTGACCTTTCTCTGCCATTTCATAAACTCATAAAGTAATCGCCTACTTACTTACCCCTTAACGAATATATCACTCATTGCTTTACCAAATATATTTTTATCATCAAGTATTACATCCGTGCATTGATAGACAATAACTCGTAATTCATATATTAAGGGGGGTTGTGGTGTAAAATCAATGGGTGCGGGAATATTCAAATTAGCGTCAAATAATTCAACCCAAAGTTGTATTTTACCCTTTTTTGTACACTTAGCATTATAGATTTGAATTTGGAATTTGGAATTTACCGTTTATACCTGCTCTATTCCAGGACAATCGTAACAATATAAGGATCGTGTCTCCACATGCTCAGGCACCAATTTATAGCCAAACGATGGTAGTTTTTCCAAGTTCTTCAAAGCTGTCAGACTTAAGCGTTCAATTAAATCCTCTTTACGGCTTATGCATGTATCATCTTCTAGTTGTACACCGTCGATTTCAATAATGTTTCCAACAATTCTTGGAGGATTGACACTATGTTTCAAGCAGAGTTCATTTAAAATTTCCGAAGGCTTAGCAAAATCGCGCCACTTATTATAACCGAAGCTGGAATATTTAAAAAGTCATATCAATTTTATACACCTATCTACCCTATAAGAAACATTTTAGTAGTGTTTGTCCTTGGGCCAAAATTTGTCGATGCTCCAAATTTTATCAAATCACCTAAATGACTGAAGCGAGCTGTACATTGAAAACAAAAATACAATACGGACGGATGGACAGACAGACAGACAGACAAATAAAGCTTCAATCGATTGCTAAAGTGATTCTGAATCAATTGACATAATAAAAGGTGAGTTTATCTCTCTCAAGTCCTTCTGGATGCTGCAGATCAGATTAAGTGAGTTAAAGGCCAAGGTAAATAAAAATAATGGAAAAATATTATATGAAATCGGATCGGACTGCATATGCTTAGAATGGATGGGAATCTTCCAACTATGAAATTTTGATAAATTTGATTTTTGATCTGCACTAGAAGCGATAGTTAAACGAAAGTTCAGATTTACCCCTAAACTAGCTCCTGTCTATTTTTTTAATGCTCATAATTTGTATTTGTATTTATTCATATTTGACCTGGAATACTCATTGGCTATGCCGACCGTGCCGCGATGTTTGGTTCGCCATCTATCTTCCAGATCGATGAAAGTCGAACCTATAGCTTCGTCACGTATGTTATTCCGATTGAATACTGATATTTCCAAGATGTGTTCCCTAAAGATATGCTTACACATTAAGAAATGATTTCAGCCAATTATATGCAAAATATTCGACCTTGGAAGTAGACCTTCTAACTGAAAGCATTTGCCAAATATTGGATTGCTTTCGTTTGGCACGTAATGAGCTCTATTCGTGATCTGCCTTTGACCAAATTGTATTTTAACATAAGAATCGGCTTGAGCTGATTTCTCTCTCGGACGAAATTGTATACCTTGTACAATGTAAACGCGTACGATGACCTTTACTAATTCAGCTAACGCTTGTATTTGAGCTTGATATCTTGGATTCAAAACGGTAGCCAGTGGCTTAAGCATCGATCCGTCGCCACCGTCCATTTGCCCGCATTGACACGGAGTTATTTTAATGTTTAGTTTCAATGTAGCGTAAACCTCTTCCTTAGGCATAGCATTCTTTTTATATTTGACTCCATGAACCATAAGCAACGGCTCAGCCCAATCAATCATATAACTAAATTCAGATTGCTTCTCCAGTTCATTTTGATAAACACACAAACGGTGCTTGTAGGTGGAGAGAGCTCCACAATGTTCAACAATGCCAGAGTTATAGAATTTCGTCCACCAATTATAACTATTTTCATTTAAAACTTCTTCCATATTAAAGGCTTCTTCCCCTTTCGGTTGCAAGCGTTTAAAAAACGTTAAGCTCTTTATACGTTTCCAAGGTGATAGCTTTTGTCTACGGCTATTTATTAAAGGGGCAGTTTCCGAAGTTTCGTCATCACCCATTTGTACTGTAGTGGAAGCAATACTCGTTTCTCCATCGCCTTCACCATTTTTTTCGCACTTTATTTCCTTAAAACGTTGCAGAAAGCGTTTAGAGTCTGATATTATAACCGCGCCAAGTGTAGTTTCAGCACCACGCGAACTTACACTCACATCGGTTCCTATTATTGCCGGCCAATATTCCAATTGATCGGGTAGACTCTGTGAAGAAAATGAAATATACGCTATATATCCAAAGCAATTTTTAAACAACTTTATCCTACTCACCACTACACCAGACGAATGTAGCACAAGAAAATTAATACTTTGTTTAATACGACTCATGGATAAACCGCTGCTTAACATTAGATCAGCCATCATTACTTTAACACGATGGCGGCTGGCAGTGTTGGCGGATCCTTTCCGATAATTGCGAAAGCCGGCAAAAACAACCTCCAAACTGCAAATCGCTATAAATTAAATTTTTGCTAACTCTGAGAGCAGTTGGTTGTAGCTTACACGAAATTTTTCATGATCGGTCTTATGGGTGTGGGTATACCGATAGTAACGCAAGATTCGATTGTTGTTGGCATATCACGTTGATTTTGCAATTCCACCAATTCGCCAGACATTAAAACTTCGGCTCGTGTGCCACCGCTTACCGATACTGGAACCCATTTTAATGGGGGTGGCGATAACAATCTCATATACTGAAATTTTTGTAAAGCTGGCTTATGATGAACAATCTTTCCAAAATCAGTGGCTCGAACGCAAGGATTCGTATCGCCTTCTTCACGCGTATTCGAATCAGCCCAATCGCTGGATATAACAGAAACGGGTAAATAACCGCAACCCAAATAGTCATCGCTTGTCTTTTTATCTGTATCATACAATTCAATCGCCACAAGAGGCGGATTATGTGCATACCATTGTAAACAGCCCGGCATTAAAATATTATCAAAACTAATTACTGAATTCCAAATGGGCGAAAGTGTCTCATAAATTACAGCCGTCTCAGCTGAGTTCATACATATCATGACGCGTATGTATGGATCACAGAGGCCCGTACGATCACCGCCCGGCCGCACTTTAGCTTGATGTATGAATATGCGGCATTTAAAATATGTATAATACACAGTGGGATTCCAGTAAAACGGTTCAGGACGTTTCCAATCCTGCGAAACGCTTGCAAAAAAATCAGCCCGTTCCGTTTCACCAACAATGCTCAAACAACCCTGGACAATGCCCACAACGCAACCACAGTAAGCACAAGTATGTTGACATTGTGTATCCTGCGGCGATATATCATGGTATACACGACGATATATAATCGTATTAATGAAATGTGATGACGTACATGGAATTTGTATAAATCTTTTTTTTTTTTTTTGTTGAAAATGAATGGAAAGCAGTTCGGTTTAGATAAAAGCATTTTGGAATAGTTGATGAGAATACGAGCTTTTCAACATCATGAGCAAACTTAATTGGATCTCAAACATATTACGCGAACGTAAATAATACAAATATTTGAGGCAATCTGAACGTATCCTAATCTCTCTTAGTTGGTAGTAGTATAACATTCCCTAAAATATTCTAAGAGTTAAGAGCGCAAAAAACGATGAAGCTATGCTTTGAAAGCAGAACTAAATGTTAATATCGCGTATCGTTTCCGATGCAATACTAAGCTTAATTGGAATAGACTTTATTATAGAATTAAGTGAAACTTTATTGCACTGACGTATTTTTTATTATTATAACAATGATTTTTGCATTACCTTGAAAATGAAATTTCGCACCTTCCAGCATTGACTGTTGGGGCTTTGATCATTGCCTTTGGGCGGATGAAGAAAATTCTTAGCATTCAAACGACAAATTCCAGTCTCTTTTATGCCCGCTGTCATTATTAAAAGCAAATCTGGCCATTCATCTTGAATTCGTGTGATTGTCAATAGATTTTGCAGATGATAGGCTTGTACGGCCAATTCATGCAGGACATCTTCTATAACGAGATCAATGTATGTATCCTTTGAAGGTTTAAGTCGGCCGCGTAAATTTCTCAAGTCATCGGGGAATTTATTCTATTATTATGTAATTATACATTGACGGTAAATGGTTCTTATGGTTCTTATGAAGTCAAGGCATGAACTTACGAAATAATCCTTTAAAAATATTAAACGATTAATATCCCAAGTGGTAGGCTCTCGGAAACCTGTATGTTCGAAACATTTGTTCTCGTTAGCTACTTTAATGCGATTAATTATAGTCATAATAATGGCACGTAGCACCTTCACTTGCGATTGATATTGCAATGCGTATTGCACCTGGAACATCTTGAATGCTTCAATTTCATACTTAACAAACTCGACCAATTCTTGAAGGAATACGTCGCTCGTATATTTAATTCGATTATCTGGTAGATATGCGCGTAATGTTATTGCTTTATATGGCGTCTCGTTGCGGAAACATTTCAAATTGAAGGAAAGATTTTGATTCTTTTTAAATTCATACGATTTCAGATAACATTCGATAAAATTCGATTGACGTTCTATAGAAATTACGATTATCGTTAAAATCATTTATAATGAGTTATACTCACCAGCCAGTTTTATGGATATTTTGCAACTACTCGTATTGCAAGCATGCAAAAAATCGCCTTGCAAAGCTAAAAACTCGACGAGAAAATGTTCTTCAACCCAATAACGCTTTTCATCCAGCTGCGGTACGCTGGTTATGCGTATTTCTCTAACCGGATCGGCATCTAAACATTCGGAACGTATTTCCATTAGAATACGTCCTACGTAATGGGAACCGCTCAAATTATCATATAAGTGTATATAAGTAGGTCCCATCGCGGGTTTATCTACGAATATTTTGAAATGAAAAGCGATCAATAAACGGCGCAATATGTTGCGTAAATATGTTTGCATAAAATTATAGCAGAATTAATGTATGTATGTATGTATGGGTACCCTTAAAGGCGATTTCATCGAAATGTAATTCATATTCGGCTGCACATTTCCATTGCAAATGTTCGTACACTAACAATTGGACAAGGAATGTCTGCGCCAACGATGGATATGTCCATGCGAAGCTTATCTGTTGATTCCAGATTGGCTGTTGTGTAGCTTTGGCGACATTTGTCTTACCCTTGAAAGGATGGAATCTAAACTTTAGAAATGAAATTCTTATCAATTTTTAAAAACTCTGTGAAATACATGAAAGCCAGCAAATGATACTTGTAATAAATAATCTGTCTTTTTTGCCATCTGGCCGCGATAAAATATCACACTATAACGTATATTGCAATGAACGCTGCTATCAATACTTTGTAGAAGATTTCTAAAAGCGTACGAATGCAATTAATTAAAAATTCAATTATTTGAAGTGTTCGCATGCATTCTTAAAACACACTTTTGTATATCGTCATAATCCTGATTTATTTGCCATTTATTCATTGACATGATATCTTCTTCATATGGCCGCAATAAATTATTCGGATTACTGGCTTGCGATACTATTGCCAAATCAATTTGTATGAAACCACGGCCTGACATAGTATCTGTGCTGGTATCTTGACCAATAGGTACTTCAAGTCGTCCCCATTTTTTAAAGTAACATCGATTCGGTTGACTCCAAACACTTTGCATATCAATAAGCAATTCTCCCAATGTTGGATTCTTTTTACAAGTTGTTCGCTTCTTCACCTCGTATAAAATTGTTAAACGCAAAAGTTCCATTAAAGTTGAATGTATTTCAAAAACGAAGTACTATATAGGATAAGAAGAGTTAGTTAGAAGTTTGAATAAATCTATTTCGAAACTTGCAATTTTTAATTGGGGTTTTTCTTTTTTACCTCATTAAAATAGGGATTTTCCGAATTCGAGTAACTTTTCGTTTGCCTATGACTTTTGTCCAATGTGATGCGCACCAGTGTCTCGCCCTGAAACACGCCTAATTGTCTGGCCTTATGCACGGTGGTGCATATTAAGAAATCTTGGACAATATTTGCAAAACATTCCTCTTGTGGCGGCGCTAACATTTTTGTTTTTTTATTTTTGTTCCCAAAAAAAAAAAATAAATAAATTATATAAAAAAATTCTTTTTTGAAATTAACAGTTTATTTGACAGCTTAGTTTCGGATTCATTTTTTCAATTTGAAAACTTAAAATAGCTTTTCACATTGCTTTTCAAATGTTATTTTTCTATTGCGGTTGCGAGAGAAGAGAAATGAAAGCTCTTCACTGCAATAACTCATCCATTCATATGAGGAAATGATACGTTGCAATTCACTTAAATCGTTTTTGAATTAATACCGCGAAAAAAGATACAATTTTTATTAATATATAGTGATGTCTTAGGTTTATCCATGTCATCTTAATTTCATATTCATTTTTTTTTTATTCGAATTAAGGTGCAATTTAGATTTTCTTATATAGATTTTTCGAGAAATTTGTAGAAAAATGTTTCTTGAAAACGTTTTATTGCAAATGTTTGCAGGGAAATTATTATTATTAAGTACATTACTAGTTGTTTAAAAGCTCTTCAATACAACAACACAAAAAATTGACTTCATAAGAAAAGATAAAAAAAAAAATGAAAACCAGTTATGTTATGAGAGTGCGCAACGAAGTAAATTGAAACGCAACTAAGACTTTAAAAATTGGAACGTAATAATAAAAGAACATTTTAAGTCTATGCAAAGAGATGAAAAGCTTATGGTTTAGTTCTTCCTAAAGCGGACGCTATTTGTAAATTATATTTTACTATCCATATTATTGTTATTGTTATTATTATAAGTTTAATTAGAGAATCACAATTCGAAGACTAAAGTCGTAAAGCGCTAGGCATCGAAGGCTTTCGGCTTTATTGAAAACTCTATCGCACTTGAGATTTGTAACCCACGACCATTGAGTTGCTGGTCGAGACTCTTGCCTACTCGGCCACTCAGCAGATTTATTATCTATATATTAATTCGGTTAATAGGTTATTTGAGAAATTATATATTGAATATATGCGAACCTTGCAGATAGCATTATAAATGATCATAAATCATGGTCAAAGGGGAAAAAAAGAAAAAAAAAAAAAAGTAAAAAATAACTAAAAGGCTATAGTTAGGCAAGGATAACCTATTAAATACCACGCATCACTTGGTTTACTACGAATTAATTTTACGAATATGATAAAATACTATGATAAAACACTGTCAAGGCTTATTTTTTTTTATAAAAAACATTTATATGGAAAAAGCTTCGAAGAACGTTGCCATCCTGTCTGGGTTTTTTTTCTATATAGGCGTCAAAATACCATATCCATTGACTTTTATCGGGTCAATTGTTTTCCATTTAAAATATACCGTTAAGCCAGACGGGAGTAATAAAAGCGATCCGATACAATTTTCAATAAAATTCATTTTTTAGCTTAGACGCTATCGTTTGAAAAATTGATCTCGTAATTTGGAATCTTTAGATCGAACATTAAAAATGCTTAGTCACATATCGGACGGAAAGACAATGCATACACGCATAATATACTCTGTAAGATAATGAGTGATACAATCTGCATTAAAGTTGAGAGTTGACAATTTACTATATAAAAGAACCTCTCACTGCATAGAGAGAGTCTCGATTACTTATTAGGAATTATTTTTTAAAATAATTTTACACTTATCATGCTCGACATCAATATATAATCAATAGATGGTTATTTTCTTGATCATATAGGTATTTGATGAAATTCATGAACCGATTTCTAAAGCACTCTTTCATATACATATGTAATTGCATATATTGAAATTATTTCATTTCCGAACGTTCCTATATATTACAAATTTTAAATTGTAGTTTCTTTTTGAATCTGTACGAATACGAATGAGACTGATGAGTAGATGACTCCAAAACTATTGATATCACAATTTAACTTTTAATGCATTGACGGTGTTTGTAGTAACAAGTTGTACAAGTTGTTAACTGCGGAAGAGAAAGATATTTAAGAAAGATATTTAAAAGAAAAAAAAAAATCGAAAACAATAAAATAAGAAAAGCAAAAAAGTTGTGTTAAATTGTGTAAAATTGTAACAAGAAAAGGTTGAAATATTACGTTATAAAAATAAAAATAAAAATAAAAACAAAATAATAGTGTCTAGTAAAGTCAGTCGACTGGCTGTTCGTCTTATTGGCGGGTCATGATTTAGCTGTCTATATAGTTAGTTAAGGTGTTATTGTGCGCATTTTGCCAGGCGTTTCGTTTCGGATCGTTGAATTCGCGAGAATTGCCTTTGTACGTGTTGTTTGCACTTGCTGATTAGGGTTTTGTTGTTGCGTGTCATAATGTTGTTGTTTTTATATTACTATGAGAGAGTTTCCTAAGCATTCTTTTAAGTAGCGCTACACATTTAATTATGATATGTTAGCTGTTTGCCTGTTGCGTGCATATGTGCACGCCCATGTGTGTGTGTGTATGTGTATATATACATGTGTATATATATATATATATATATATATGTGTGCGCGTGTGTGTGTGTGTGTGTACAATTAAGAAAATCAAACACTTGTTATGTTGCTATTATTATTATTATTATTATTATTATTGACTTTGTTAATTATTTATATGTATTTCTTGTGGTATTGTTCTGGCAAATTATTAACCAGCAATTTGCTAATAAACAATTTCAACTTGAATAGTTCTCTAAAGCTTTTATCTTTACACGTTATTTGCAATATTAATTAATATGATAATAAAAACAGCAACAAGAATAATAACAACAACAACAACAAAAGCAATTACTACATAGTAAAAGTGTAATAAAGCATATATATGTATATGCGAATAAACAGATTTACGTGTGTTTCCATTTATTTATGTTAGATAACGGAAGCATCGTTGTAGCGATTGAATTATATGAAATTATCTAAAATTAATAAAAAAGAAACATATGCATTATCAAACATAAGAAAAAAAAATAAAATAAAATAATATATATGTACGCATATACAATATACATAAATAGCGAATGAAACTATTTATCAATTTAAAGTTATTCGAATTTCATACCAAGCAAGTAATCAGCCCAAGTATCAGGTAAAAGAATAATAACACAGCATTGTTTACCTATATAACACATGCACACGTACTTCCTAGTAAAAATAACAAAAAAAAAAAAAAAACGCCTCAATCAGCAACCGGTTAAACTTTTGCACTTGTTGTTTATTTTACTTTGTTCGTTGTGCGACCCCTTTGTGGTTATCGTATTTTATGTTGTTGTAACTTCTTTAATGAAGCATGTGTCCTATATACCATGCTTTCGTTGTTGTTATGCCTTTTTCGATATTCTCCCCGCCAGTATAATTGTTTTCGCTTTATTCGCATCTACCACGTTCAGTATGCTAAGTTCATTAGATGGCCATACGTATTAATCGATTCTTTATCAGAACGGATCATCAATCTAATGACAATATTTATTTATCCCTGCATTCGGCTTGTCCTTAAAAAAAGCGATTATTCACTCCAAGTCCCGTGCGGAGAAAATTGTTTAATTTCAAATACTTCTTTCATGCTTGCGTTTACCTTTTATCCGATGTTTAGCTAAATCGATCTATAATTAACAAAATAATTAACAAAAAAAAAAAAAAAAGAAGCCCATATCACAAATTTTTTTTGCTTATGTTATTTGTCAACCGTTCATTTGCATGATACTCGCACTTGCGTGTGGGCATATTATGCCACCCATAGTATCGTTAATCCCTTTTATTTGAATACTCGCCCGAAAAGCGTACTTTTTCTTAATTATGTAAAGTAGTTATGAGAAAACAATTTGCAAAAACATAGAAATGATGGGTGTTAGAATACCCGAGCAGAACCGTATCTTTCGTATTCCTCACTAGTCTTGTGAAGTGTTTTACCATTTTTCTTCTTTCTCTTCACTTTTGCGCACTTGTATACTGTCTTTTTATTATTATTATTTTTATTTTTTTTCTTAAGTATTTTTCCTCTAGCTAAACCACTACTAAAAGTGGTCTTGTTTTGCAAGTGCAACCAATATCAATGAAATTTTCTTTCCTCCTCACTTGAGCCGACTAGAGTAAAACCCTTTGACTAAATAAAAAAAGAAAAAAAAAGAAAAAAAAAAAGAACGGAAAAAAAAAACCGAAAATTCATAACCGATCGTTTACTCACACATAGAAAGCAAAAAAAAAAAAATAAAAAAAAAAATTTCATTTTTATTCAATAAAAGCTATCAGACAATTTTATTACAGGAAAAAAAGACGCCAGCAATTCACTTTGCCTTTCAATTTGCATTTGCATTTGATTTCTTTTCAACTTGTATCGTATACACTTTTATATATACATACACTTTTATATATACATATATATATATATATATATATATATAGATATGTTTATATTGTGAAAGGTAGTCTTTCAATTAGTTATTCAAGTCACGTCATTACCTATATCATCATCATATTGCTCCTCAGTGCGTTTTTCATTGTAGTATATTCAACACTTAGGGGAAATTACAATATCAAACAAATATGCATAACTATCCACAAGGGATTCCAAAAAAACTCCGTACATTGGTTATATTCATATATGCGGAGTTCAATTGTCAAATCGCTTAAATTGTGCATGACTTTACTCTATCTATTTTTCCGTCTCTTTTAAGGGACATTGGGAGCGTGAATACATTTTAAGATCAATTGGAATTTATCTTTGTCTTATTGTTCGTCTCTTAAGTAGATTTATATTAAAGAAAATAAGTATTATTATTATTATTATTATTATTATTATTATTATTATTATAAATTTCGCCAGAGAATAAATTCGAAGACTAATGTCTTAAGGCTTTCGGCTTTGTTAAAAAGTCTACCGCACTTGAGACTTTGCCATTGAGTTGCTAGTCGAGACTCTTGCCTAGTACTACTAAAAAAAAAAAAAAGAAAAAAAAAGAAAAAAATTTAATTAGTGGAAGAAATGCGCTCACAACAAACTTAAGATTAAGGATATCTATTAAAGAAAAAATTCCATTTTTTTTTTTATGCT